CCGCGCGGATTTCTCGGATCGGCTCTGGACCCCCCCCAGAAGTCCGCGCGGACCTCCGAACGTTTTTATGGCTGTTCTGATTAGGGGAACAAAAAGTGGCACGGATCGGCTCTGGATCCGCCTCCCCCTGGCGCGCGGAGCGCGCCAGGGGTGGCGCCGGAGGCGGTCCAGCGCCGCTCCGAGAAATCCGCGCGGACCTCCGAGTCTACATGTTCATGTCATTCTTAGTTCCCCCAGAGAAGGAGAAGGCCTTCTCAGAAGGCTGGGGAGTCCCCTGGCCTTCGGCGAAGTTTTCTCAACTTTCTCCGAAGACGCAGAAAAACTTCTCAGAAGGCGCGATGGCCTTCTCCGAAGATGCAGACCAACCTCTCAGAAGGCGCGATGGCTTCTGAGAAGTCCCGCCGCCTTCTGGGAAGGCCTTCTCCTTCGCATTTCCCCCCTTCGCTTGCCGCCGATGTTGGGCTCCCGACGTTCCAGGACGGCCCAAGAGGCCCCCAAGATCACCCCAAGACGGCCCAAGAGGCTTCCAAAAGGGACCCCAGGAAAGCCTCCAAGAGAGGGCCCAGAGACGGCCCAAGAGGCCGCACAAACCGCCCCTAAGAAGGGGAGCTCGAACTAGCAGTTCGAGCACTCCGCGTCAAATCTGGGACTTCTATGGATCTCCTGTGGGGCTACGAAACACGTGTGCGGTCTGCCATAATGGGTGTGATCAGGTGCTCGAACCTTGGAATTTGGGCTTTCAGAGGAGCTCCCCTGGGGCCACGAAACGTATGAAATAGGGGGCAAACAAACCTACCTCGCTTTTGACCACCCTCGCTTGCAAGAGATACCAAGCGATGCCACACTACGGCCTGTGCTGGTCAGGCCGCTTGACGAGGAGGCGCGTGGTATGACTTGGTTTTGCCTGGAAGCGAAAGCGGGGTAGGTAATTCACGCTCTGATGCAAGGTGTACCACACTGGGCGTAGTCAAGCATACGAACCCTGCCATGTGTCTTCTGTGGAATACCTGGAGTACGACACGTGTGATGGGTGTGCCGGAGTGGGCGTGGTTAGGCATACGATGTCGTAATTATGGGGCCACAGAACTTATGGGGGGTGTGCTGGAATGAGCGTGGCCAGGCACACGAGCCCTGCCATTTAGGCCGTCGGTGGAGCTCCCTATGAACGTACGAAGGGCGAGCCAAGATGGCCGTGGTCACGCAAAACCAGCCAAGCCATTTGGGCCCTCGGTGGAGCTCCCTATGGGGCCACGAAACGTGTGAGTGGTAACCGACCACGGGCGATAATGAACCCCCTGGGATAATAAAGTTCGGGGTTCTGGCGGGGATACTAAAAGATGTTCCCGGGGAAGGTAAGTTATGATGATGAAGATGAAGATGACGACGATTGATGATGGTGATGCTGGGCGATCCGCACAAGGCTGACACGAGAGGAGGGGACGGGAGGAGGGAGCAGGGGAAGGAGGGGGAGTCAAGGCAGGGCGCTGCGGACTCTGAACGAGGACCTCACACCACAGGCTGCAACCACTCCAGGGTGTCAGGACACCGGATACCTTCTACCCGCTCCTCTCCCCGCCCGCCGAAGCGGCCGAGAGCGCCACGGCCTGTGGCGTGAAGGCCACAGAACGCCTCCATCAGCGGCACGTCCGTGGCGTTCACCGCGCTGCAGAGGCTGCCGCACTCCGCCACGCCCCGGAATGCCGTCAGCGCGACCTGGGAGCGGCGGCCGGACCCCTCCCCTCCCTTCGGCAGATAAAAGCGGCTCCCGCACCGAGCCCTGGACCCTGGGGCTCCTCCTCCTCCTCCTCCTCCTCCTGATCCTCCTCCTCCTGATCCTCCTCCTGATCCTCCTCCTCCTCCTCCTCCTCCTCCTCCTCCTCCTCTCCTCCTCCTCCTCTCCTTCCCTCCTCCTCCTCCTCCTCCTCTCCTCCTCCTCCTCCTCCTCCTCCTCCTTCCTCCCCCTCCTTCCTCCCTCCCTCCTCCTCCTCCTTCCCTCCTCTCCTCCTTCCTCCTCCTCCTCCTCCTGCCTCCTCATCCATCCTCCTCCTCCTCCTCCTCCTCATCCTCCTTCCTCTCCCTTTCATCCTCCCTCCTCCTCCTCCTCCTCCTCCTCCTCCTCCTCCTCCTCCTCCCTCCCTTACCTCCTCCTCCTCCTCCTCCTCTCTTCGGCAGAAAAGAGGCCCCTGAACCAAGCCCTGGCCCCTGGGGCCTCCCCCCAGGACCGCCTCTTCGTCCCGCGTCGTTCTCCTGAGCGTCCCGGGGCCGCGGAGGACTCCCGGAGGCCCACAGACTGCGAACAAACTCAAGGCAGAGGCCAGAGGACTCCTGCCCAGAGGACTCCTGAGGCCCAGAGGACAAACTGGCCAACTGATCAAGGCCAGAAGACTCCTGAGAGTCCCAGGGCCGTGGAGAGCTCCTGGAGGCCCACAAACTGCGAACAAGCTCAAAGCAGTTCCCTCGGGACCCGCTTCCTTCGTGGCGACCCCCGGCGCGCTCCGCGTGCCAGGGGAGGCGCCGGAGGCGCCGAGGAGCCACCGGCAAAGCCCGGCCCGGACCCTAACCCAAGAAATCCGCGCGGACCTTCGAAAGTTGCTGCCTGTGCACTTGCTGTTTCGCAAGCATGCACCACGTGTCTGGATACGGTCACGTCTCGTACGGGTATGGGGAAACCAAAAAATACTAATACCGCTACTCCCCAGACCTCTCCCGGGGTGCCTTCTGACCAGGATTTCGAGGCGAATCCAGCGGTGGCGACGAGGGCCTCCCAGGAGGCCCAAAAGGGGGAAAACAAGGGAAGAGTAGGAGTATGGGTACCTTATCCTCCTGTGAAGATAGGTCTGGTCTCCTTCGAAAGCCGGCGAGTCCTCAGGATGTTATCTTGTGCGGCTTCAGCTCTGGGGGCCTTGGTATCAGGTCGGGCATGTCCTCCTACAGTCGGATTTTGGGCGAACATTGAAACAAGGCCAAAAAAGATTCAAACGCAGTCAGAACTAATCAAAAATCGTCCCAGACTATTTCTGGACTATTCTCGAATATTCCTCCTGTAAAGGGACATGCCCGACTTAAGCTTGGTGTCATTCGAGAGCCTGCGAGTCAACAGGATGCTATCTTTTGAGCAGGGACCGACCGTCCCGGCATTCCTATAGTCCTACCACGAAATGTTCTTAGAACCCAAAAAAGTTCTAAGAACAGAAACAATGTTCTTAGAACATATTCCCGATGTGTTAAAACAAGACAGTCCCAGCCAGAAATGTTCTAAGAACACTTCCTGGAAACCACAACAGGTTCTTAGAACATTGTCTGGTAGGGCTGTAGGCGAGCCGGGACTCTTCGCCACTGCTTGAATCTTGTGCGGCTGCAGCTCCGGGCGCCCTGGCAGGGCGGCGAGACCTGGACATGGCCATAAGGAAAGCCTGAGGCAAGCTGTGAAACACTTAAGGAACGCGGAGCCCCTCCCCAACGAAAAGGGTTCCTTCTTCAGGGCCCCGACTGGAGACGGATGTTGGCAGAGACCAATGAGACATGGCCAACCAAAGATTCAGAAACACATCCAAAAACAATAGCCGAAACATCGTCCCCAGACTATATCGTTGCCTGTTTTTGAACATTCCTCCTGCAGCGGTGAGAGGGGCAACGATCGGGGGGGACTGGCATAGGGGGGGGACGTATCGACCTGGAATCGGCGACACATCGCCGACAGATCGGCGATAGGCACCCGACCGCGATCCCGCACCCTCCTGGGCAGGCTGGGGCTCTCGGGCCCCCGTCGGCAATCAATGGACGATTGGGGGTCGATGCGTCCCCCCCCATACGCCTATCCCTGTGCCCCGGCAGTTTCCTGGTCATAGCTCGGGGGTCGATGCGTCCCCCCCATACCCCATAGGATTGTAATACATGATTCATGTATGAAATAAAGGTATGCTTGAACTCATCCTTGTTTTTAGTACTACCCCCCTGCATGTTTGATACATGATCCGCACGCGGAGCATGTATTCAAAACGGCACTGTATGCCCATCCTTGTGCGCGGCGGCCGTGCGGGTCGATCCCTGGCACCCCCCAGAAGACGCCCTCGGCGAGGCGCGGCCGCTGGAGCGCACCCCGAGGAAGGGGAAGCCTCTCCGGGAGCCCACGAGGACTTGTGAACACCTCGACCCTCGACCCTCGACCCTTGTCCTCACCCCCGAGGAGGGGAGACCTCCGGGAGCCCACGAGCACTTGGGAGAACCTGCCCCCTCGACCCTCGACCCTCGACCCTCGCCCCTCGACCCTCGAGCCTCGGCCCTCGACCCTGTCCTCACCCCCGAGCCCGTCCCCCCCCCGCTCGTTGCCCCCCGTCGCGCGGCCCTCGCGGGGGGCCTCCCGCGGCAGGCGGCCGCGATCGCGCGCTCTTGCGGAAGGCCGGAGGCTCGGAGAGTTCTGGAAAGGCGACGCCAACACCGACAGCTGACGGACGAACAACACACACCCATACCCATAGGGGGGTCGTTGGGAGGAGGACTGTCCATGGGTATGGGTGCGGGTTGTCGGACCCTGGGGAACGCTCCCTTTCGAGCGGGGACCCCCATCCGACAACACGCACCCATAGCCCTCTCCGATCCCCCTATGGGTATGGGTGTGTGTGTGTTGTTGGTTCGTCAGACAGGGCGAGGAGATGCAAGGAGCAACGGGGGGGTCTCCCCGGTGGTGTGGTCCCCCCCACCCCGCTCGAGACATCCCCAGCCTCCAGCTCGGGGAGGCATCGTGGACCTCCTCGCTGGAGGTGGGCCCCCTGGTGGTGTTGGTGTCGCATCTCCCCCCTCCGATCTAGAGAACAAAACTTCTGCAGAGAATCCTGGAGGCCTCGCGTGGCAACTTGAGGCCCGATTTACGTCGGAACCACGTCGGATTTGCGCCGGGTTCACGTCGGACCACGTCGGATGTGCATCGGATTTGCGTCGGACTGACTCTGGAGCATCGCGGCGCGAGCGTCGACCCATAGTTTACAGAATCGACAAGTGGCCTAGATCATACTACTACTGCGCGCCGCGCGAGGCCTCCAAGTTTTTCCTCATAACAAAACATCCACCCTCATGATAAACACTCCGGCAAGCAAAGCCGGAAGGAATCGGACAGGGGAGGGCTGTTTGGTAGACGCCCAGTGCCGTTTAGTAAACGCCCATTGTTGAGGTCCAGGTGGTTTTTCCTCCCTTGAGAATTGGTACCAGCATCAACTCGGGGGGGGCCTCCGCTGGGGGAAGATGATCTTAGATGTTGGTGCTGGTGGTAATGGTTCGGCCACCTGGGAAGCCCGGACATCAATTACCACCATCACCGAGGTCGGGATGATCTTCCCTCGGTGGGGGCAACCGCCGACATTGGTGCTGGTGTCAACCTTCGGGGATGGACATACCTCCCTTTAGTAAAACGTGGTTTAGTGAAAACGGCCTCGGGCCCAAACCTGGCGGGCGCAAGCCTAGAAAATGACGGCCGCGGCGCCCTCTCGAGAACCGAAAACGGACAATTCACTAATCGACGTGTCAGGGTAGGAGGTCTGTCAACCCCCGAAACCTTGAGGCCTTCGAGAACACCCACCAGAGTGACGAAACCAAGCGGGCCTTGCGCAAGATGACGCAGCGGCCTTACGCGGTGGCTTGCGCGGGCCGCCAGCGTGGCACGCTGCACTGGGAACGAGGGCGCGCGCGCGCGCAACATGACGCGGGCAACTGGCAACATACGCGTGAATGTGCCCGCAGTCGAACCCGTTATTAACACTCCTGCCTGTGTCATCTCGCTCCGGATCTGTTCGTCGTCTCCTCGTGTCGTTCGTCGCTCCTGGCCAGCCCCTGCACCAGGACCCCGCCTCCCCAGCCCTGATCTCCAACTGCCCTGGCCTCCCTGGTTGCTTAAGGGCAGGGAGGCCAGGGGCGACGAACGACACGGGAAGACGACGAACTAATCCAGAGCGAGATCACACCGGTAGGACTGCTAGTAACGGGTTCTGGGGCCAGGGCAAAGAATTCTTGCCCTGGCCCCAGAAACCCGCCCCCCCCCCGCCCTGGCCTCCTCCTGCCCTGGCATATCTAGCCTCTTTAGATTTCCTGCCTGGGCCTACCCTGTCCCACCAGGCGTAGCTTCCATAGCCGCCCCCTCCAAGGTCTGCTTTTCGTGTCGTTCGTCGTCCCTGGACCCCCTGCCCTTGCTTCTCTCCATGCCCTGGCCTCAAGGCCCCGTCCCACCAGCCCTGGCCTCCCTGGCCGCCCCCTCCCGCTTTTATTTTCGCGCCGTTCAACGCCCCTGGCCCCCCTGCCCTGGCCTCCCTGGTGGCATCCCTGCCCTGTCCCGGGAACCCGCCTCCCCAGCCCTGACCTCCTCCTGCCCTGCTTTCCTCGATTCAGCGGCCATGCCGAGTCGACGAGTTCGCAGAGGGCTGCACTTCGTCGCTGCCTCGTCATGGCCGCTCCCCGGCGTGTGCGGCACTCGCGCACCCCTCCGATTCTAGCAGAGCCTGGCTCCATCACCTTCCCCCATTGCTCCGCATCCGTACTTGTATGATCCTTGGCACTAGAATAAGAAACTGCATAAACAGAAACTTTTGGCGCACCGCACGGATTTCTTGGATCTGCGCTGGAGCCCCCCTGGCGGCGCGGATCCAAGAAATCCGCGCGGAGCGCCAAACGTTTCATCACCAACCCCCGATTGCTCCGCATCCGTACTTTTATGATCCTTGGCACGCGTGCCTCTTGTTTCGGGGGCGGCCAAGAGGGGGGGGCGCAAATCATGGCCAGCGGCACGTGCGCGGCCCAGGGGGGGGGCGGGGTCGTAGTGAAATGTAAGAAGGGGCGCCATGAAATCTGGGGAGATCTCATGGCCCACGCCCTGATGCCCACCCGCCCCTGAGTCATCACCCCCTCTTGGCCGCCCCCGACAACTGCTCCTCACGCGCGCCGCCGGGCACTCCCGAGTGCCATCGCCCGCTCCTCGCCCGCTCGCCGCGCTCTCGAGTGCCACCGCTCGCTCCTCGCCCGCTCGCGCCGCAGCGCGGGCAGCAGCTTTCGGAGGTCCGTCCGCGGGGATCTCTTGCTGACCAGCCTCGCCCTTCTGCCTATCCCCAAGACGGGCGAGCAAAAAGCGAGGACTATCTTAGGGGTGTGCCCTCAGAACCTGAGGGAATCCTCGAGATCGGCATCGAGGTGGGGTGATGCCAGACATTGGGATAGGGATAGGTTTCAGACTGGTAACTGGCGTCGGCGCTGGTCCACCCACTGGCGCGCGGAGCTCCGGCAAATTCTGTGTATATACCGAGGTTTCTTCGACACGAGAGACTGATCCCCCCGAGGACAATCGGTGCTCGTGCCGCGTCCTGCTCGCGGAGCGCCGTGCTCTCGGTTGCACGTGCTGACGGCTCCACGAGAACTCCAAACCGCGGTCACTGCTTGCTGGCGTGCCGTGCTCTCACGTGCGCCGTGAGGAGGAGGAGGAGGAGGAGGAGGAGGAGGAGCAGGGAGAGGAGGAGGAGGAGGAGGAGGAGGAGGAGGAGGAGGAGGAGGAGGAGGAGGAGGAGATGGAGGAGCACGTCGGACCGCGGCGCTCGGCCTCGAGCGCCCACGCTGGGGCCGCCGCCGCGCCGACAAGGCGCGAACCTGCCTCACGCCACTCGCTGCGCGAGCATCGGGCCGCAGTGGATCGCCGCGAGATCGAAATCGCATCGGGATCGATGCCGAGCGAGCTCGGCACCGAAAGTTGGACCGACCCGATCAAAATGGGCCCGTGAGGGCGACGCCTGGCTCGCTTTCCAAAGGCCTCCCAGATGGGGTCCGAGTAGATGGGGTTGGAGGATCGCGCTGCATCGCCAATGCATCGGCGATGCATCGGCGACGTCGGCGTGAAGAAATACCGGCTCCACATCGAGCCGCATCAGCGATGTATCGACGATGCGGCGCGATCCTCCGACCCCATCTACTCTTAGGACGGGCATATCCCCTACAGGCGGATGTTGGACAGAAAATCCAAAAGACCTCAAAAATATTCACCATGCTCAGAAATGGTCAAAAACGTCCCCAGATTATTTTGAACATATTTTTAAGTTTTCCTCCTGTAGAGGGACAGGCCCGACCTAAATCTACTCCGACCCCATCTAGGAGGCCTAGATCTTCGCCCCCCAGGAGGACCCTGCAGTTCCACGCCCTGCACGCGCTGCTCACGGTGCCGCTCGCGAGGCTGCTGTTGATCCTGCCAGGGCGGACGCGGGGGGGGAGGGGGCACCGGAGACTCGAAACCATCGAGTCTGAAGTTTGGTCGGGCATGCCGCTTACACGCGGATTTTGGACGAGCCATGAAACTCAGTCAAAACATTTTCGAACGTACCCGAAGTAGCCGAAAAATCGTCCCCAGATTCTGTTCTGGCTGTTGTTGAAAAGTTCCCCCTGTGGAGGGACACGCCCGACTGAAGTCTGGAGGCCAGCTTCGGGTGTGACCGTCAAACGACTGCCGAGAGAGAAAGAGAGAGAGAGAGAGAGAGCAAGGCAGCGGGGCGTGAAAACGACCACAGCAACTGCTTTTCTTTTGTTGCCGCCTTCCAGCCCGCAGAAACAAAACAGCGGCTGTGGTCATTCTCGTCGAGCTCGGCACCAGGGAAACGACCATGCCACGACCACCGCTTCTTTTTCGGCCGGCTGGAAGGCGGCGCAAACAAGAAGCAGTGGCTGTGGTCATTTTCCCGTCCCGCACAAATTCAAGGGGCCCTGGGACACACAAAGAAATACACACAAATGACAGGATTCCCTTATATTTTCCTATATTTTCTGAGTTTTTGTCTTCCCCCCCACTTCCCACATTTTTCCATATTTTCCTGGGGAACGACGATTAATTGTGTCTGTGTGGTTCTTTCCCGTCCGCCGAGAGAGAGAGAGAGAGAGAGAGAGGGCAGGGCAGCGAGGCCGCATCGAGGAGCGCGCCCAGCGGCGGGGCCGAGAGAGGCTGCGCGCAGCACACCTCGGGCCCCTTCCCCACTGCCCCATTCCGTGCGCAGGGAGTCAGGGGCCGACCTTCCAGGCAATCTCTATAGGCCTACGTGACCTCCTGGGGCTTCCTCCTGGGCCTCCTGCGGCCTCCTGAACTCCACCTGGGGCTTCCTGAAACCTCTTGGGGCTCCCAGGGGGGATATCTAACCTGTGGCCGCTTGGGCCCCTCTGAATGGAGAGGGGGGGCGAAGTGTTCTCAGAACCCAAAGATGTTCCAAGAACAAAAACAGTTTTCTCAGAACATCGACCCGATGTGTTGAACAAGACAGTCCCAGCCAGAAATGCTCTAAGGAAATCCCGTGGAAACCACAAGAGGCTCTCAGAACATTGTTTGGTAGGCCCATGGGCGAGCCAGGACGCCTCGCCACTTCCGTGCTTGACCAGACCTCTCGACGCCTTCCCCGGGACCGGCCCTCCGTCCTGAGCAGCTTCTTGACGGGCAGAGGGAATCCGAAGCTGGCTTCCAGAGGCCGAGAACGCCAAAGACCTGGCCTCGACGTGCCCGCGCCTCTGGAGGCCCAGGCCCCCCCGCCGTCGCTCCGGCCCGAGGTCCTGGCGAGCATGTCGACGGGGCCGGCGCTCGTCTCCACCAGGCTGTTGCAGCCCAGGTCCTGAAGAGGGGGCGGAGGCCCTGGGCAGAGAGCGGGGGGAGTCTAAGAGGGAGGAGGAGGAGGAGGAGGAGGAGGAGGAGGAGGAGGAGGAGGAGGAGGAGGAGGAGGAGGAGGAGGAGGATGGGGAGGAGGAGGAGGAGAGGAGGGGGACCAGCAAAGAATGGCCCAAGGGCGTCCGCGGCCCAGGGGGGGGCCAAGAACCGTATTGGCGCGGACGGGTCCGCGGGTAGACGTCCAAGAATGCTTGCACCGAGTGGTGCCCGGATGCAGAAGCTGCCGCGCTTGGTGCACAGAGTTGCGCGGGGACGCACTTACACACATGTTCCATGTGCTATGGTTGTCGCCCGTGCAATGGTTCGCGCCCCCTCGCAGTAGTTGCGCACTATTGCTTGCATGCATTTGTACATGTTAGCCAGCGTTGACTCTTAATAGTCTGTCTCTAGCAATATATATATATATATATATATATATATATATATATATATGTATATATATGTTGTGTAACATATGTGGAGAAATTCATCTGTTGTAGTACAAAGTGTGCAATATATGATGTACAATCTAAGTTGTCCTCTGAAAAAGGTGCAATGAATGCGGTCAACTAGACTTTCTGCAATAAATGTGAATCAACAACCGTAGCAAAATAGAAGTGGTACAATATATCATGTGCAATCGGGTGTACAATCGATAGTGTGCACTCTATATGGTGCAATCTACGCGGTGCAATTTAGGAAAACAACAAATATGGTGCAAAACATGTTGTGTAATATACGATGAGAAATAATTGCATACAAATCCGCCGGCCCCCTTGCGGGGCCATCAGGCTGCGAGGGTTAAGCTTGCTGCTCCCTGCACCAGTTCCAGTTTCCAGTTTCCATTGTTACAGTACTGCTTTCTGCTTCCTACTGTAAATTGTTACTGTCCGCGCGAGGGGGGGGAGCCGAAAACCACCCTGGTTAGCGTCCCCCGGGAGGGTTCTCAGAATTCCTGGGGGGTACAAATTGACACCCCTCGCGCAGATCGGCGGGGTCAGGGTCCAAAAACAAAGGGGATTTGCCACATTTCTGACATCCGGTGGCACCCCTCACGCAGATCGGCGGGGTCAGGGTCCAAAAACAGAAGGGAATTTGCCACATTTCTGAAATTCGGTGACACACCCCATGCAGATCGGCGGGGTCAGGGTCCGAAAACACATAGGATTTTCCGCATGTTTGAAATTCGGTGGCACCCCTCACGCAGATCGGCGGGGTCAGGGTTCAAAAACACATGGGATTTGCCGCATGTTTTAAATTCGGTGGCACCCCTGGCGCAGATCGGCGGGGTCAGGGTCCAAAGACACAAGGGATTTGCCACATTTCTGAAATTTCCTGGCACCCCTCACGCAGATCGGTGGGGTCAGGGTCCAACAACACTCGGAATTGGCTACATTTCTGAAATTCGGTGGCACCTCTCACGCAGATCGGCGGGGTCAGGGTCCAAAAACACATTGGATTTTCCGCATGTTTGAAATTCGGGTGCACCCCTCACGCAGATCGGCGGGGTCAGGGTCCAACAACACAAAGGATGTGCCACATTTTTGCAATTCGGTGGCACCTCTCACGCAGATCGGCGGGGTCAGGGTCCAAAAACACAAGGGATTTGAAACATTTCAAAAATTCGGTGGCACCCCTCACGCAGATCCGTAGGGTCAGGGTCCAAAAACAGAAGGGATTTGCCACATGTCTGAAATTCGGCGGCACCCCTCACGCAGATCGGCAGGGTCAGGGTCGAAAAACAAATAGGTCCCGACACTGCTTCACGGCAAAGCCAAAGCCTCATGACTTCGCTCTTCCATGGCCCATCCTCCGAGAAAGGGGGCCGGCGGCAGGGGGCGAAGCCCTTACGGATATTTATCAATACACATGTGTGTATGTGTATATGCCTGTGTGTATGTATGCATGTATGAATGTACGCATGTACGCGTGCATGCATACATGCATGCACGCATGTGTGTATGTAGGTATATGTATGCGTGTACGTATGTTTGTGTGTATGCATGTATGCATGTATGAGTGTACGAATATACGCGTGCATGCATGCATGTATGTATGCAAGCATGTATGCATATACGTATGCATATAGAAGTGTGGTGCAACAGATGGGGTGCAATACGTGTTGTGTAACTTATGTGGACCAGCACGTCGAATGCATGGGCCATTTGTGTGGTGCGATCTATGATGTACAAAGTACGGTGTACAATATAGGTCGAGCAACATGTGGTGTACAATATAGCTGGTGCAAACAATACTGTTGCACTCTTTGGCGCGCAATATGTGTTGACATATGTTGTGCCATCTACGTGGTGCACTGTTTATATACACAGATACAAACCTATGTGTATATATATATATATATTCATATGGTGAAACCTAAAAGTCGACTCAATGTGTAGGTTGTGCGATCTATGTGGTGCGCACTATACCTGGTGTAATAAATGTGGTGACATCTATGTTGTGCAATACTTTTTGACCGTCTTGAAGCTGTCCTCTCCACTGCTCGTGCAAACATCCCACCCTCCCACCCGCATCTTGGTCGCAAGACCTCTTAAGACAAGACCGTGACGGTACGTACCACATGACACTTGGCCACGACACCCACGCCGACGACGACAGCGACAACGACGACGACGGCGCCGCCGACACCGACTACGACGACACCGACGACGTCTCCAACGACTTCGACGACGACAACGACGACACCGACGACGACGACGACGACGTCAACGACGCCGACGACGACGACGACGGCGACTACGACGACACCGATGACGTCTCCGACGACTTCGACGACGACTTCGACGACGACAACGACGCCGACGAAGACGACGACGACGTCGCCGACGAAGACGACGACGAGGGAGGAGGAAGGACGACGACGACGACGACGGCGACAACCACGACAACGACGAGGGAGGAGGGAGGACGGCGACGACGCGAACGACGACGAAGGAGGAAGGACGGCGGCGCCGACTACGACAACGACGAGGGAGGAGGGAAGACGACGACGACAACGACGACGACGACGGCGACGAAATAGGAGGGACGACGACGAGACGCCGACGACGGACGACGACGAGGGAGGAGGAAGGACGACCACGGCAACAACGACGACGGAAACGACCACGACGCCAAAGAGGACGACGACGACGAACACGAGGAATGACAGAGGACGACGTAGGCGACGACGACGACGACGATGTGGGAGGAGGGAGGACGGCGACGACGACGAGAACGACGACGCAAGAGCGCGCGCGCACGCTTTCGTTGAACATCTGTGTTGCGAAACCTTGTGTTTTCGTAGGTTTTTTGGATACACGATTTTGAATTCCTTCCGAAACCGATGGGTTTTGAAGGTTTTCGGCACACGCGCGCGACGACGCGCGCGTCCGCACCTCGCCCTATTTTTTGCAGAGGATTCTCGCGACGGCACACGCGCAAGGGCGTTCGACAGATTTCGACATGCGCGCGCGCGAAGTCCGTTTAATAGCATTTTGTGAAAATCTTGAAAAACCTATGATTCTTAAGATGTCGCAAGAGCTCGCGCGGAAGCTTTCTTAGCAAATCAGTGTTGCGAAACCCTGTGTGTGTTTGTATGTTGTTTGGAAACTCGATTGCGAAATCCTTCCAGCACCGAGGGTTTTTGAAGGATTTCGGCATGCGCGCTCGACGACGCGCGCGTGTGCACTTCGTTTTTTTTTTTTTTTTGCAAGGGATTCGTGAACAAGTGTTATGTTATAACAACAAATGTCACCGCATAGTGTTTTTTAACAAGGGTCCCTCAGGGGGGGGGGGGGGGATACCGCCCCCCCTGGGATAGTGTAAATTCATATTTAGGATGGACATGTGGTCATAATCATTCATGATTTACATACGCGAAAGGGGGAGTGATAACGCGGGGGGGGGGGTAGATCCTATTTTTGTTTTATATTATTTTTTAACAAAAATGTTGTGCAATCTGTGTGGAGGGCCGCGACAGCGGCAAACAACTGGCAGACAAGCCCAGAAGATGGGCGGCGACGGAATGGCGACGTGGAGGCAACAAGCGCGGCGACCGACGGACAGGCCCAGACGACGGGCGGCGACGAGGCGGCGACGGGGCGGCGACGGCGCTACATACTCAGTGCAGTAGGGGCCTGACCACAAGAAACCTTCCACAAGAAATCCAACCACGAGACCCCAGGGCGTCCATTGATTTTTGATGTGGGATCGTCGCGCTCTCCATGGCAAAACCCTCGAAACCCTTGAAATCCAGGGCACCCTGGAGGCAGGCAGGGTGTTTCTTGGCATGGGTCCTCACTAGAGCTGCCAGACCCTCGGGCAGGCCCAATCCCTTACGGAAGCCAGAACTTCTCAGTGCAGCCCCCGCTCGGGGCGCAGTGAAGGAACGATGATGGCACCTCGCGCCGCCGACACCTCTGCGCCAGACATACTACTCCAGTTCCGAGCACCCAGGGGGGGAAAAAACACACACACACACACAAAAAAAAGGACGGGGAGCCTCGAGATCTGCGGAACGATCGGTTTCTTCGTCACTTTCTCACCGTCCCCCCTCTCCTTCTCCAGGGTACCCTTGTAACTCCCCGCCTGCGTCCGTTTCTCTTTCTCTTTCTCTTTCTCTTTCTCTTGTTTTTTTTGTTTCTCTCTCTCTCTCTCTCTCATCCTCTCTCTGCCTCACTTCTTTTCCTTGCTTCTCCTCTCCTCTTCCATCCCCAACTCCTCTTCCTCCCCCTCACCCGTCTCCTCTTCCTGAGAAGCGCGCAATTAAAACCCGTGTGCCGCCCAACCCACAGAAGCCCAAACCAGAGAAAACGAAAACCCCTAGTGGGCTCAAGAGGGACTCGATACGGTCCCAAGAGCGCTTCAAACAAAAACGCTGCAAAAAAGGCCCCGAGCGGCGTTATTCGGACTCCAGGGGGTTGGGGTTGATTGAAGACGCTTTTTATCAATATCTTCCAAGATGGC